GTCTAGGAGTACTCGAACCACATTTACATAAGATAGTACTATAAGATTTCAATTTCGTACCAAATATGTCACGAACCATATGGAACCACATTACCATAACCCAATTTCCCCTCGTCGCTAATGTTACAACACATGCGTGACACATTTGATAAACTCCTAACAAAATAAGGGGAAAATCTCCAAGAGTATACATCGAATTGAAATTCTAATCCAACCACATTGCTTCCACATACAAATTTCCACATTCCAATCACATCGAAATTCGGAAAAAATATAAAAAATAATACGAGACATATTCGATTGATTGGAAGGAAATCGAGGGGTAAAAAAAAAAACTAAAAAGTCGTGTGAAATGTGAATACCACTATGATAATTTATCGAATTTTTTTTTATTTTTATAATGGTAGGGAAGAAAAAGGACCAAATTACCTTCTCAAAACCGCCTCTTTTCGTGGTCTCAACATAGAGGACATGCAAATCCAGGTCTCTCCCTCCAATCACAGGAATCCTGTTACGAACCCAAAAACAACAACGAAAGAAACAGACGGCCATTAACAAGATCGAAACTTTATCGTGTGAAAAAACAGAGGGGGGAAAAGAAAAAAAAAACAGGGTTTGAGATTTTACGAGAAGGTGGTTCCCATGATGGAATGGAAGCGATTGAGAGTGTCCCAGAAGGCGGCACCATCGTTCACCACAACCTCGTGGTCTGCCAACGGAGCAGGGTAGAACTTCCTCACCAGTTCTCCTTCTCCTTCCCCTGAATCTTCCCGCCGTTTACTCGCCGCCGGCGACATTTCTTCTCGCCGGAGTGAGATGGGACAGGCAGGAAAAGGACAAAAGGAGAGAGAGAGAGAGAGGGGTTTAGTGTTTAGAGAGAGATTGGGAGGGGAGAATGGTATAGTGAGGAAGAGAAGAGGGTAATGATGGGAAAGTTAAATAGTAAAAAAAAAATTGTGAGAAGGGTGATTTCCCGAGATAAGACTCGCAATTAAGAGAGATGATTTTTTTCTTTTTCTCTTCCTTTTTGGGGTTTTTTTTTGGGTCTGTGTATTTAGACTGGCTGCTGCAGCAGGCTGGCAGCTTCTCTGTGCGAGAGCAAAGTAGGAATCCCGCTAAGAGATGAAGAGAGGTGACGCGTGGGAAGCAGCGGTTACGCCAATTTGGATTTTTGTTTTGCACTACCCCAAAAACCTTATGCTTTATGTGATTTTTCTTGAAGTGGCCGATTAACAAGCAACTAAGCAAGAGCCATTAACCCACGTACTTATATTAATCAATAATTAACTAATTAATTAATCTTTGGTATGTGTTATATAGAATTTATGTATTTCAAATTCATATGGTGTCCGAATAGGAGTAATATTTGAAGTGTGACTTAGTTGCGAAGTAATGAGATAGTTTTCAACGAACTTTCTTCGTTTTCTATGGATTTGGAAAAAAGAGTTAAGATAATTAATTTTTTACAGTTAATGAAACAACAGTAATTTCATAACCGTCTGTTAAAATGAGCAAGTATATAATAGAGCGGCCGTTAAAAATTGGTTTGACCAGGGTAGGTAGGAAGTTTTTTTTTGTTAAGCTCGACACGTGTTTCATTTCTCATAGTTTTGTTATGCACAACTCATTTTATTAACGGTTTGGCCGTTTTCCTCACTGGAATGTCAAAAGGTACACATATATTTATTTTCTTACGATTTTTAGATATGTTTGATAATTGCTTCAGTGAATGCTACAATATTTAAATTTGAAAATCGGTTAGTAGAATGTTGATTTAAAAGAAATTATTGAAACAAGCTATCAATTTGTAAAGTGTGTAAATACAAGTGTAATAGTACATTTGAAGTATGACTCAGTTGCGCGGTAATGAGATGGTTTTCAACGTACTTTCTTACTATTCTACGCATTTGTAAAAAGGAGTAGATATAATAATTTTTTACGGTTACGGTTAGTGAAACAACAGTAATTTAATAATTGTATGTTAAAATGAGTAAGTATATATTAGAGCAACCGTTATAATTTGGTTTGACTAGGGTAGGTAGAAAGTTTTGTACGCCCAACACGTGTTTCATTTTTCACATTTGTTCTGCCAACTCAATTTATTCATGGTTTGATAGTTTCTCTCTCTGGAATGTAGAAGGTACAAAGAGATTTATTTTATTACGATATTTAGATACATTTGATAATTGCTTCAATGAATTCTACAACACCTGCATTTGGAAATATGTTGGTGATTTTAAAAAATGTTGAAACAAACTGTCGATTTGTAAAGTGTGTAAATCAAGTTGATTTGATTGAGACAGAAAGCACCCCATGTTCGCCAAGTGTCATATGCTTTCGTATTTGATATGTGCAACTAATTTCTTTTATGATATTGCCAATAGTTTTTTTATACTAAATTCCAAGATTCATTACACCGGTGCAATTATTTCGCATGATTGTGAAGTGAGACTTACCCGAGAATTAATTAGATGATGTCCAACAAACTTTTATTGCTCTTGGCACTAATGAAAATGAGTAATTATATAATAAACGAGCCAAAATATTGGTTTAAAATTTAAATATGGTGGGAAGTGTTATAGCGTGATACATGTTCTATTTTTCATATTTGTTTTTAACAACTAAATTTATCTATGATTTCACAATTGTGCTGGATATGGTGTATAAGGTGAAAAGAAATGGACAACTAATTTGTCCTTAAGTTGCATTACTAACCATCCGCAAAGAGCAAATAACTCACCAATTTATATGTCTCATTTTATCTAGTTATACTATACGAGCATCTTTTTTAACCGTTCGATTTTAACTTTTCATGCTTTTTACCATTCAATTTTACCTGTTAGATGAGTGTAAAATATAACTACTCATTCAATTATTAACTTCATATTACGGTAAACTATTATTTTTTTACATTTTTTATTTAGATGATATGGGTTTTTTTGCAATTTTTTTCCGTGTAATTGGACTATAAGGTCAATTGATTATACAACTTCAAACGAGCATGAATTCGATCAAAACCCAAAATATATGAACTGTTTGAACCTAACTGAGTGTAGGAGTGAGGTTCGAGTGAGAGTTCGGGTCAAGAAGAAACGCAAGTGCTCGGGTCGATCGGAGGGATGAGAATTAGAGAGAGAGTGAGAACGAGGATCAGAACTTTTAGAAAGAGAAGTTGTTGCTATAGAGAGAGAATGGTGAAAAATGCGATCCCCCCACCCACCGTAGTAAATGCCGTATTTATAGGCTTCGTTGTGGTGGGTGAGTGGTTGACTCAAGTGGGGATACAACGATGTGACTATTTGGGATACAATGATGTGACCACTGGCACACTAAGGATTTTAGGCCCTGTCCAGGCCATCCCTCTACCTAGGACGTGTCAGAGACCTGTCAATGGCCCTGATGTGACTACCTCCTGGGAAGGAAAGCTACGCTCCCCTTCTCTCTTGGCTTGGCCTACGCTATGCTCTCCCTCGGCGCTTGTAATTCACCTCGCGCCTAAGCTCTTCGCGCCAAGACGTGGTTGACTACGATGAGGCGTGGCGCTCGGGGTCTTCGCGTTGCCATGTCGGGGTCCATCCAGTCGCGCCCTGTTCCTCGACGTGGCCGGGCCCGACTTGTTCTTTGGCGCGGCTAGGCCCGAGTCACATGCCCAACATGAACAATCTATATTAAATGAGTACAAAATTTTATCAAAACTCAAAATAAAAACCAACATAAGATATGAACCATTTATATTCGAGATGCCTCTATACAACAACATTTTGTTTTCCGTGTCTATGTGAAGCTCGTCTACATTTTTTTGGTTGAATCTCATCTACATTTCTGGAATGTAACAGTAGAGCATAAATTGAAGTGATTTTTTTTTCGTTGAATAATTGAAGTGATTTCAGATAAACCTTTAATCTCTAATTTGCTATGTAATCTAACAAAGTCAGATACTAAATCCCCCAGCCATATATTCTCTAAATTAATCCTAAACAAACTTAATTACTTAATTCTCCCCTCGGCCTTCACCATGTGCAACCAATTAAATAATTCTATATAAAATTATTAGATACTTAATTCTCCCCTCACCATAATTTCCTTTCACCAAATACAAGAATATTTATAAGGAAAAAATAACATTTCCCTAATTCCCTTTCAACTATCCTATTTCCCAAAAATTTCCTTAGTTTTTTCATATTTATCCTCCCATTTCCCCAGAAGAAATAGGATTAGTAGTAGTACAATTTTTTTTTTTTTTTTTGACAATAGTAGTAGTACATTTAATTTTACACATAGAAATAGACCAATCTCAATTATTACCCTAAAACCCTTTCGCTTTCTGTGTAGCTCCTGCTGCGGCCCTTCCCCAGCTTTGCTTTGCTTGCTTCCTACTGCAGTCCCTTTCTCTCGTCTATTGGAAGCCCTGACATAAATCAATCTGTACCTAGTGCCCTTTTATTTGATATTTTGATTGCGTCTACTTTATCTAATTTTCAATTTCAATGTACAAGTACAATGAGTAATTGAGTAATTATTTTAGTATTTAACCTTTATCTACCATTAATCTGATGGACATGCAGTTTATCCAGTGAAGTTATTTCAGGAACTACCTACTGCCTAAAGTACTATTTATCAATTATGTAACCCAAGTTGTTTCACTTCTTAATTGAACGATAACTTCTCAACTGAACGATAAATACCAAAGGGTAATATTTATCACAACATATGACATATCGTACTTAGTTTAACAATGCTTACTTGTATTTCATAATAGTAAAAACAAGGTTCAATTTGGTTATTACTTATTAATGAAACTTACTTTTTACTTGCCATTATGATCATTTAGAGGAAACTAGACCGCACAATTAGGGAGATGGATGCGATGACGGCCCCATGAAATTTAAGTTTTTTTTAATTAAAATAATAACTAAACAATTTTAAATAAAAAAAGAATTCGACTATTACAAGTTACAATAAAATACCAAGATGTGTGTTTTCGCCTTTTTGGTTTTCGGATGGAGCTGGTGGCAGCTTGGAAGCTTGCGGTTTGTGGATGGAGTTGGGGCTTGCCTGGGAAGCTTTGCAGAGTTGTGCTTGCATTGGCGGAGGAGGGTCATGACTCGTCGGTTGAGCTCGCAACTCGCAAGTCGGTGGCACGACAATCAACAAATTCTACGATGGTGGAGGACTAGAGTTTGGACTTTGGAGAAGTAGAAGCCGACGATTAGAGGGCGGAGGCTGACCGCTGATGACTGGATTGGAGGGGTTTCACATGAAAGATTGAAGAAAAGGAGTCATATCTCGATGCATTTTTTACTTTGATTCTCCAATATATGAAGGTTGGGGAATTTGGAATTTAACATTTGGGTTATCGATGGAAATTTTGTGGAAGTTGAGGTTTAATGGACTTTTGTTTTACTTATAATCACATTTATGTATTAAATATATTAACAAATAATTTGTAGTGTAATGGAGAACATGTTTACCAATAATTGCGGTTTCATGTGTCTATAATTTTCCTAAAATTTAAAGATGTCCATGGACACCCCTTAAAAGACAAGACTCCACCCCCTGTATGGACGTTTACATCTTAGTAGTGGAAGTTGAGATTATCTCAAACTTTTACTCTGTTAATACCCTTACCTAAGAGGTCGTTTGGATGGTGAATTAACGAAATTACTAGCGGTGAATGTGAATTTTATAAAACACACCATCTTAATCCTTTTATAATATTATTAGAATATATTTCATATCCACGAAAACTATTAAAATAGAGAAAAAGGCTAACCAAATTGAGATTTGGATCCAACCACATACAATTTTGATCGAATTTGACCCTCACCTTCATTTTTATATATTTTGGTATTATCCGTTCTCGATTTTTGACGGTGTTGGATTGCATTCGGACACAATCTCGTCTATAACACACCATGTTCTACATTTTTTCCACAGCTTATTCACCATGTTGTACATTGTCAAATACAACAATATATTTTTTTCTTCTTTCTTTCTTTTGCTTAACCATGTACTTACAAGTTACAACGACTCCCTGGATAAATCATGCGTACAAACTACCCTCTCAAATCATCAATCCAATGTCCCAACTCCCAACCACCCCTCAATATAGATATAGGTCATTTGACACTTTCGTGTTTAATTTCTGGCTCATGCATGCTTTGTGTTTTCACTTTTCACTTTCATAGTTAAGAGAAGAAGGGTGACATGAACTTACCTCATTGGCTCTTTCCCCTTCTGAAAAGATTTAACCCCACAGATATCCTATTCTTGATTCTTCTGACCAAATCTCTTCACACTCTCTAGAGTCTAGCCTCTAGGTATACTATAGTCTATACTCCAATTCTCATCCAGTGCGCTCCGCCCCACGCTACACTACACCCTCATAATTTCCACCCGCTCTTATTTCAATGTGGGTCTTGTGAGCTTAATGAGGCCCAATCCATTTGGAAGAGTGCAGGCCCAATGTTAATCATCACATCTCATCTCTTCTGATAGGCCCATTATACTGGTGGAAAGAAGCACGCGCTGCTGGATGACAAAGGAAAAAGTAGGACGAACGAAAACCTAGAAAAAGCAAATGTGAAGCCGAAGATCGAGAAGAGAACCGCAGAGAGGTCAGGAGATTTCCTTGAAAATGGCCGGAGTCGAAGAGAGGAAAATGGACGGAGACATCGTTCGACGTCCGCTGGAGTTCGTCATCTGGAGAAGCACAGACAGCAGTCTAGTGAAAAACCTTTTTTGCGAACGTCGGTCTCCCCTTCCCCGCCGAAGATTCGCGCTCGAAGAAGACGGTGATACTTCGCTCGTTCAAAGATGAGATTGGTAAGGGATCTGTCTCCGAAGGCATGATTGAATGGTTTGAGATTATAGAGGAATGTGATAGGATCATAGGAGAGATGGAATTGCCGTTTCGGAATTGATGAAGATGGTGGTAGGCTAGAGAGTGAAGAGGTTCCGAAGATGAAGGATGGGGGTTATGGTGAGACAGGTGAGGGTTCTAAGGGTGGGGTTGATGGTACAGGGAATGAAGAACAAAAGCATCTTTGTGAGAATGTTGGAGATGGGGCTAAAGGGTCTCATGATGAAGATATTCCGAAGTGGAGGGTTGGGGATTCCGGTAAGACAGGAGATGTTTCTAATGTTGGGGTTGATGGTTAAGGTAATGAAGAAGAAGATATATTTCTGAGAATGTTGGAGATGGGGATAAGAGAGAGGGTGACCGTATGTCGAAGAGGAAGGATGAGGGGTTCTGATAAGGTAGGAGAGGGTTCTAATGACGGAGTTGATGGCGAAGGGAATGGAGAAGAGCAAGAGGGTGAAGATATCCTGAAGATGAAGAAGAGGAAGGACAGAGATTCTGAGAAGATAGGAGAAGATGTTGTGAAGAGCAAGAAGAGGAAGGGTGCAGCTGTTAAACCAATGCACCTCTCCATCACCGCAGTGCACCTGCAACGATTGCTGATGTGGGAGAAACTGCAAGTTACCAGTCTGTTCCAGACAAGCAGTTAGCAAAAGAGGTTGATGCACAACCGAATCAGCCGGAAGCTTTTCTGGAAACTGGCTTGGGAAATCAAGAGCCTGCTGAGGTGGAAACCCAAACTGAGAAACAGAATATGAATCCAGAACCAGGAACCAGTGCCACAAATGATGCTGCTGATATGCAATGACCTACAACCCCTCCAGAGGATAGACCATCACTGATGAAACTGCCACCCAGCTCTCCACCAAAGTTGCTTATTGACCCCAGCTTGCTTCAGAGGAGGCAGAACAGGAAGTGGTCAGTGGAGGAGCTCTGCACAATGGAGTGCAGCAGTTTGGTGTCGGGTCTTGGAAGGAAATCCTCAGATCCCGGGGCCAGAGCTTCAACAATAGGACCGAGGTTGATTTCAGAGACAAGTGGAGGAACATGAATAGATGGAAGCGTGAGCATTGACCCTGGTAACGATTTTGCACATGGAAAGGGGAATGCTCCCTCTTTTGTGTCTCTTGTCCCGTTGATAACTCTCAACTCGTTCTGTGGTACATTTTTGTGCAGATAGAAAGTATGTAACTACATCTGACTCTTAACTGTATAGTCTTATGAGTTCCCACTTGCATCTGTTATTTATTTCTACTAATGAGTGGTAAGCAGTAAGAATGTTGCTTCATTTGGTAGCAATGGCTCACAGTTGGAATGTAAATGATGCTGGAAGATTGGCTTCTTGCCTAATTCTAATTGAAATATATATCTCCTTAACGTGGTCTTAATATCTGATAATGTCTCGTTTGTTCTCAATCTGTTTGTATTCGTGGTTCACCTTTTTATCTATTTTATTGAGACTTTTTCCCGGTTTCCTTTTGTTCAATTCAGCAATGGCGGCTTCTATCTTCAGAAATGCTGAACAGATTATCCTCCCTGTGAAATTTGCCATTTCAAGAAGGTTCTGTCTTGCTTCTCGCCTTTCTCTAGAGCTCCATGGATTATTCAGCTTGGACTCCCTCGTTTCAGCTGTAATCATGGCGGTAACCTCCTGTGCATCTATCCCCAGCTGCCGTTCGATTCATTGCAAGGTGATGGGTTCATCAGTCATCAGTTGGTCTCTGCTTAAGGTTGGGTTTCACAAAAGATGCATGCGACTGGTTCGATGAATTGCCTGACAGAGATTTGGTCTCATGGAATTCCTTCATATCCGGGTTTTCGCTCGGAGGGGATCTTTGTAACTGCTTGAAGACCTTCTCTCCCATGAAGCTCGAAAGAGGAGTCGAAGCCAGTGAAGGTAAGATCATTCCATTAATATACCCATGCCCTGGGACGAGAGCTCTGGATATTGATACATATATTCATGGATTCGTCCTGAAGTTTGGAATGCTTCTCAAGCTGAGAATTGCTACGTTTTGATTAACTTGTATGGAAAGTCTGGGTACTTAGATGGTGCAAGTGGATTGCTCAAGGCAATCCCAATTCCGAATTTGCTCCTGGAACTCCATAATTGCTGTTCATGTTCAAACTGGACAGCCAGAGGAAGGAATTGGGTACTTCATTGTTTCACGAAGAGCAGGATCGAACCAGATCAAGCCACTCTAATCACAATACTTGAAGCCTGCGAAGAACTCAGTTCAGCCAAGCTGGCAGAGACTATCCATGGCTTCCTCTTCATTACAGGTCTCGACCGAAGCTAACTCTAGCTACTGGATTATTGAGATTGAATTCCAAACTTGGTTCATTGGTCGCTTCACAGAAGGTTTTCAGTCATATTAGAAATCCTGATTCCATAGCATGGATGCTCGCAAGCTATGGAGTTCATGGGAAAGGGAAGGAAGCCGTGGAAACTTTCCAGCTGATGCTAACAGGTGATGTAGCTCTTGATCATGCCACTTTCACCCACTTGTTGAAAGCTTGCAGCCATTCAGGGCCTCCGACAGAAGGTAAGGGCTACTTGGAGGTTATGGCATTGATCTATGGTGAGTGCCAATCAATGAATGCCTCCGGTTATCACCAAGAACCTCAGGGGATGTGGTGATTGTCACGAATTCACTAATCTTGTGTCGATGCTCTCGAAGGTCGCGAGATCATCATTCGAGACACAAAGCGGTTTCATAATTTCGCCTGTAAGATCTTATTCTTGCAGAGAGCACAATACAAACTCTCTGCTTCCTGTATTTTAGGCTATTTATACCAACTTTAAGAAATTAGGAACTGCTTGAACCCAGAACATGAAACGCAAAACAATAATTTCTCATCACTATCCCGGTCTTTGATGGGCCGGATCTGTTATCCTTAAGGTTGGGCTTTTTGGGTTCCAAGACAGGAGGGCCAACTTCTCTGTTATTAGCCAGCAACCAACCAAAACCAAGCCAAAGCCCAAGATTCCATCGTTGTCAAAGAGACGACGAGAAAGACAAAAGGCACTTTAACAATGACACTCTCTTCTCATCCATTTGAGGAGGGGTCATGTTTGGTACTTGGTGGTATGGGTGGGCAAACGGTTCGGTAAATCCGAATCGAAATCGAAATAATGCTATTTGGTTCGGAATTTGGAAGAAAAATATGGATATTTCGGAAATCATGGTTCTTTGAACCGAACCGAAATTTCGAAATTCCGTCTGAAAAATCGAAATACTACAATTGCAACCTCCAAATGGTGGATTTTTATGTCTGTAGTTGTTTTTATACTTAAATATTTGAAATGTTTATGACTTATGTGTTGAAAAGTTTGATTTTATCATTGATTATGCATATATTGCATATTTATTGTTTATATTAGGGGTGAAAAATAATTTAAAAGTGAGAAGATACAAGTAGCCTCACAAATTTGGTTTTGTGTTAAAAATCAAACCTAATTATAATTTGGTTTAAACCGACCGAACCGAATTATAATTCGGTTCGAATTCGGTTTGAGATTTGAGAGATTTCGAAAACCCGGTATTTATAATTTTGGTTCGGTCGAAACCGAACCGACCAAATGTCCACCCCTACTTGGTGGAAGGAAATGGAACTGTGGGAGAGGAAGAAGGCAAATTCAGGAAAATGATGGGCACAAGGAAAGAAAGGAGCCTTTGCTTTCACCTCATATAAATGTAATCAAAGATGGGACGACATGTGAAAACTAACAAACCCTACTCATGGGACGACGTCGCCTTGTCCCTCTCCTAAGAGTAGGACCTTGTCCCCTTTAGATACCCACACCATATATATATATATATGATAATAGATAATGCAAAGCGAAAAATCCATCCCAATCCATAACACATTTGGAATCTCCTTCAAAGGAATAATAATAATTATAATATCTCTTTAGGATCATTCACACTCCAGTTGAAGCAATTATTGAATACTCCTATGGCTCGCTCAGTTCACGGAAGAAGGGGGAAATTGGGGAGGGAAAGGAAAATTTAGAGAGTGAAAACTTGATGATAGTTAAATAATGAAGGGAAAGTGGTGGTCAATTTGAAGAAAAAGAGGAGAAAAGATACCCAATAAAAGTCAATAGTTGTTTCCACTCCGAATTAGGGGGCAACGATTATAATGAATCCCTTAATAATCACTCTCATGTATTGTACCAAAACTTATGAACAAGAGAAACATCGTGATTCCCACCAATTCCCCCGATTTTGCCCCACTCTCTATTTAAACCCCCCCCCCCCCATGAACTCTGAACAAGAATGTACATTTTGTTGTTTTGGTTGGAGCCCTATAGTGAAATTCGTCTTCAGAACTATTTTCTTGAATAGCAACTCCCTTACCAGTTTAAACAATGTAAGATACTCGTCAATTCAGTTAATCAACTGAAACGACCATTTCTTCCATCTCTCAAATAGACATTAACATCTTGACGAAGTGAGAAGAAAACAGAAAATAATTGATGAAAGTTATGCAAAGTGGGGCATGTGAGCCATTCCTATACCAATCAAGGTAATTAATGCTTTGATTTGAACATTAAAATCTGTCGACATAGTTTCTTGATAATTGAGAAGACATTGTCCATGTGGCTGCCTGCCGTATGCAAGCAGTTGATTTGGGCGGGACCAACCTCTAGCTGCTTCTGCAGGTAACTTGTTTGGCTTTCTTACCTCATTGGTTAACTGTTACAGAGTATACGTTTGTTAAAGGTTTCTCGAAGAAATAATATATGTTTGGTTTAAGTCGATACAAATAAAGTGCATTTGCCTTTGCCATTGTTAATTTTTTTATCCTAATCTTTTCATTGATTGTTTATTATTATCATTATCTATAAAGATCTCAATCTCACATTCTCATTTGATGTTGATGGTAAGAAAGGACTTGGTAGTGGACCATAAAAGTGCACATAATCATGGAGGATAAAATGGTTTCTACATGTATATCCCACTATCTAAGATATGAATTTGATGAATGTAATGATGAACGATGAACTTTAGGATTTTCTTATATGGTTGATGATTAGGATGCTATTGGTTTTTTGGCAAAATAGTATAAATGATCACCGCTTGTGTATACTACAACGATTGTTGTTGTTTGCTTATTGGATTTGAAAATGAGGGTTTTTAGTTTTAAAACCTTAGGATTTATGATGAATTTGTTGTACTACGGATTTGGAAGAATCTATTGCGTGAGTAGTTGCTTTTTTTATCAAGGATTTTTAACCTTTTTGCACCATGAATCCCACATATGTCTTCCCTCAACCAAATCCCAAATGAAAGGTGAGATGTACAAATTCATTGAGTGCACAATTTTGGATCTAAAAATTGTCAAAATATGTGGGCCCATGTATTTGGTTTCTAATTCTTTAATGCAACAAACAAAGGAGTTGGTTAAATCTATCATACTGGCAAATCCATCGCCCAAATCCAACAAAGATGTCAGGGGCAAAGCTACATTATAGTTAGGGTGGGCCCCGGCCTCTAGATCTTTAAGGATATTTAGTACAAGTTTTATAAGTAGAACTTGTTCTGTAAATTTTATCATGTAATAGTTATGTGGTCTAATGATAGTCAAGGTTAATTTATATCTTAAAGCACACGACTTCATTCCACATTGGTTACATAATTTTTTTTAATTATTTTCGTCCCTCCCGGTCTCGAAATCCTGACTCCGCCCCTGAAAGATGTCATGCTGGATAAATGTAGATTTTTCTAATGCTCGACCTAATAGGTGTGAACTCAAAAGTTTAATGTAGATTTCAAATAAACCTAACACATCATTATTTTAATATTGCGAATTACGTATTAACTCGAAACTACTTAAAATCTTGTCATTTAATGAATTAAGTAGATTAGTAGGTATTAATTTGTATTTTATCTTCTTCTTCCGGATTAGACCCCCCCTCAATTCAAACAATCTAACCCAGCAGGCAGCGGCTCTTGTCTTGTGTATACACACATAGTGACATAGACATAGGTATGTTTATGGACAACGACAGAGCTTGTCTGTTGCCCTCCAAACAAAGAGTACTCCAAAACGTCTGGGAATAAGGTTGCTTCTTGAAATATATTACTTTAAATTAATAATTTAGAAGGTTAATCAGTCGACTAAATCCCCAAAATTGAAGTCTTGTAACCTAATCCAGTCCACGTATTCATTACTCGTCCTTACTCACATCAACAAAGTGTTTCGAGGATTCTCCATTTCCACTTAAGCTCAAGCTTGGAACTTCTCGGCTCTTGTTATGTTACAAATTTCTCACTAGTTATACATCAGAGCAACGAAGATGCATGAGTGTCTCTAGTCAATGTAGTCGAGCAGACCTCGACTTATTTTGATTAATTGGTTATTGACATCGTATTAGAACTTTTAATTGAGCATACCAAAATTTTATAGGCGGAGGGATACCCCTTGGGCCTTGTCCCGGGACAAGGGTAAATTTTGGAGGAACAAAAAAAATATTATATATATATATATATATATATATATATATATGGGCAGTTCTACGGTGCCCAGGGCAAAATCCGGGGTACGGGTAACCGGGGGCAAGGAAAATTACCAAATGCATCACGAAGCGTTTATGGTGACTTCTACGGACTTCAACCTAACTGTACCCGGTTTAATGATAGCGATTAAGAGGTTAAACCCTATGGATACGACCCGCCGCCCTAACCAATTTCCAGTCTCCCTTCTACGATCCCTCATTCGCCTTGGAGGGTCCCCTCTAACTCTAAGTTCGAAGTTCGATCATAAGCTGCCTATCAAATCTGAAATCTCCAACAAAATCATCGTTTCGAAACCCAAATCCTTTTATTATTTGATCCACATTCGATTTAGCTCCCTATCCAATCTCAAATCCCCAACATCATCATGTTTCATACGCCAAATCTATGTATCCACATTCGAAGAGAAGATCCCCATCCAATATGAAATCCTCACATAATCATCGTTTAGAACCCCAAATCCTTTTATCCACAAATCGACGTTTTGTTCATCGCCATTTTATTTCCGTGCGGAATTTACTCGCCTTACTCTTTCTAACACGATTACGGCGACCATGTCTATTATTGTGTTCATCAAACTTTTCGTTTGCAAAAGAACCCTTGAAAGAGATTTGCTAACCCTAGGGTTCATGTCGCTAGTGCTTTGTCATCTTGTCTTAGCGTTATTGTCATTTTCTCGAAACTTCTATCACTCGGTGAAATTAAGGTTTCCTGATATGCAGTGTTCGTCTCACCCAGAGGATTGAGGAAGGAGATGAAGAAGACCTAATTTGATTCGAATCAGATGGAGAGGTCTCCTTAATTTGTGTTTATGTATTAACGCTGCGTTTAGGACTAATTCTAGTTGGACTGGGTCTGATCATTGATTTTTGCAGGCTTTTAAATAACATTCAAACGTGGGCTTGTACATGGACCCATGACACCTAGTTTGTTGATAATAGATACTGAGTTCCGGATTGTCATTAGGTTGGGCCTTTGATAATTGTCTATCTCAGACTCTCAGTGGCGATTCTTTGTTTTACTTATTTTCATCTGCTTCTGCTTCTAAAATCCTGATCATTCATTGAGTTCACGCAATTTAAACATAATTCTGTGTTCCATCTTTTTTGGAATTTGG